CATTGCAGCTGCCTGCACGCCTTGCAAAAGGCCAGGGCCATGCTCCACAGGCAAGGCCTGAGCGTCTTCCTCCAGCGAAAGTAACGCTGGTAGCTCAGGCTATCCCTGTCCAGCTCCTGCAGGTACCGAGCCAGGTCCCCTGGGCTCTTGAAGTCATCCACGTGGATGAAGGCGTCAGGGGGCAGGAACCGTTCATAGTTCTCCCTGCTGGGCCCCAGGACCACAGGCACGGCCCAGGCTTCCAGAGCATTCCTCCACAGCTTCTCTGTGATGTAATCTGGGTGGAGGGAGTTTTCAAACGCCAGGTAAAACTTGTATCTGGCCAGTGTCTCTATCATGTTGCCTTGGGGAAGCGGTTTATGCCCTCGGCCATACACATCGACACGGAGGTGACTCTTAAGGTTCTCATAGTACTGCACCCGGGCCGACTTGGAGTTCCAGTTGGACACAGCCCAGGCCACTAGGTCAGTCTTGGCAGACAGGTTGACCTGGATTTGGCCTGGAGGCTCCGGCCACGGCTCCAGCCAGCCATAGGGCGTGAAGATGTCAGAGTCACTGCGATAGGACATGGTGAGGTTGAAGTAACCATCCAGGGCTGACAGATGGCTGCAATGGCTGGGCGACTCCAAGCTGAACCACACCCAGCGCTGGCCTGGTGGTCTCGGCTGAGGTGGCAGCTGTGACCCAGGGTTGGCGCTGACTTCGCGGTGGTGGACGATGACCGCGTCTGCTTGGGGGTACAAGCTCCTGTTGGCGGTCAGCTGGCAGTCGACGGTGCCCGGGAGCATCTTGGAACAGGGTGACAGAGCCACTGGTGTGTGGAAGGGCCATGTCCACAGTAAGATGAGGAGGGGTCTGGGGGCAGGGGGAGTCGGGGTGGAGGCTGGTCCTGGGGAGCGACCAGGAGCTGGGGGTCCAGGTTGGTCATAGGACACTCGGGTGTAGGAGAAGAAACCTAGAGCAAAGAGGAGCTGCAGCAGCAGGCCGAAGAGGCATGGGCGCCAGGGACACTGCGTCTTTACTGCTCGGGGCATATCCATGGCCTGGGGACCTGGGAAGAGAGGGAAGGCAGAGTAAGTCACGGGTCATCTCTGTGGAAAATGGTCAAGTTAATCACTCCACAATTTTTTTTTCGAGACAGGGTTTCTCTGTGCAGCCCTGACTGTCCTGGAGCTCGCTCTATAGACCAGGCTGTCCTCAAACTCACAGAGATCCACCTGCCTCTGCCTCCCGAGTGCTGGGATGACAGGCATGTGCCACCATGTCCAACACTACATTTTTTAAAAAATGTTTCAGTCAAGGTATCTTGTAGCCCAGGCTAGCCTCCATATTTGTATGTAGCTTAATATGACGTTTGCCTCAGTTTTCTGTCTCTTAGAATGGCACTTGGTTGGATGTGGTGTGGACACCTGTATATTTCCAGCACCTGAGAGGCAGAGGCAGACCAACCTCTGGTCCACAGAGTGAGTTCCAGGCTCACCTGGACTATAGAGTAAAACCCTGTCTCTAAAAGCAGAATCAAGAAATTCTTATGCTTTCATTGTGTTCTGAAAAACATTTAGAAGTAAAAGCAAGAATATTATATTTTTTGATCCTTGTGCAATAGAGTTTTTAAAACCCTGGGTGCTATAGACATGCATCAAGACCCCTCGCTGCTGCTGGCTCTCTCCCGGCACCGAGGGCTGGCTGCACATTGCTGATGCATGTCACTAATGCTGCAAGTGTGAACAGGCCTATGGCCAGAACAGACTTGAAGTGGCCCATCTTGGGCCGACCCTGGGGGTGGGGCTCAGTGGGCAGAGAGTTCACAGAGCTTTCAAGGAGCCCTGGGTCCATTCCCAGCTCCTCAGACCCAGCGTTCCAGAGAATGAAACATCTCTGGCCATGGGGACTGCTCACATATCCAGGGCTTAAACCCAAACCAGAGTGACCTGAGACTTCCTGAATGCGGATGTCTTCCAGCGGGGACATCGGGACATCGTCCACAGAGAGGGAGCTGCGAGGGTAGGCCTGCGTTCCCTGGGGACCTCCAGAGGTGCAAGACTGAACCCTATTTTCTAGAAAAGCCAACCTGTATTACTTCCTCCTAGTCATATGATATGTGGATTGCCTGGTGGGCTGGAGATGTGGCTCAGTGGCCAAGAGCACGACGGCTCTTCCAGAGGATCCGGGTTCCGTTTCCGGCACCCACACGGCAGCTCACAGTTTTTTGTAACTCCAGCTCCAGGGGATCCAACAGAGACATAAATGCAGACAAAACACCAATGCGGGTGGAGCAAACGAATCTTTAAACAGAAAAGAAGAAATATAATTGCCAAACCCCAAACCCAGAATTGCAGCAGGGGACTTGTGGAGCAGTTGTTGCGCGTGGGCAAGCATCCTGAGTCCAAACCTCAGCACCCCACACACCACAGCACGATGAGGACAAACCCACAACCCCCAAGGTGGCACACCGCACCCAGCATTTGTAATGGCAGTACATAGATCTGACCCAAAAGCATCCTTAGCTACAGAGTGGGTTGGAGGCCAGACCCAGACTCAAAGACAACTGGGAAACCAATTTTAAAAACCAGGGAAAAGAGGAAGAAAAGAGGGAATGATGTCACACCCTTATTAGCAAGAAGTTGCCGGTGGAGGGTGGATGATACTGGAGCCTGGTTTCTGTCTTTGGATCCTGTGTGGGGCAGGAGCAGCGAGCTGGCTTAGCCTCACTCTCTACAAAGACTGATTGACTAACTGTAGTTGACCTGCCATGCCACGTAGCCCAGGGCATTTTCTGTCTTTTCTTTCTCTCTTTTTATTTTTACTTATTTATTTATTTAGTTTTTCGAGACAGAGTTTCTCAGTAGCTAGATAGCCAGTCCTGGAACTTACTTTGTAACTCTACCAGGCTGGTCTCAAACTCACAGAGATCCGCCTGCCTCTGCCTCCTGAATATTGGGATTTTAGGCCCACCATCATGCCAAACTGCCTGGTAGCCCAGGATGGCCTTGAACTCCTATTCTTCTTGCCTTGGGCTCCCAAGTACAGGACAAACCATGTGCACCCCCCCACAATCAGAGCCTCGTGTTGAAAAAAAAATTTTTTTAATTAAAAATTGAAACTTCACAAACTCAAAATGCTTCCCCATAAAACCAAATTTTGCTGGTTTTGTATGAGCCGGTTTATTCTAACAAAGGAAACTATCACCTAGAGACGTTTTCTAGAGCATAAAAATGCAGAACCTGAGCCTGGGGAGAGAGGGTGATCCTTTGGATCCACGCGGGGGGGTGGGGGGGAGAAGAGAACCAACAGCTGACTCTGCCCTCCATGTGTGTGTATGCATACACAATACATACTTATATACAGGTGCACAAACACACACACATACACGCTTACACATACATATACAATCACACACTCATACACCAGTACACACAAATACACACACGCAAACACATACAAATGCACACACACAGCTGGGCGGTGGTGGCGCACGCCTTTAATCCCAACACTCGGGAAGCAGAGTTCGAGGAGTTCAAGGCCAGCCTGGTCTACAACTACAGCTACGATTTTACACAGGGAAACCCTGTCTCAAAAAAAAAAAACAAAGCAAAACAAAAAAAAATACACACATAAATGAACAGACACATGCACACAATAAATAAACATACTTAAAAAAAACCCAAAGGCGTGTGCACTTACAGGTAAATAACTTTCTCCATGGCTCACACGTGGGAATATCGTGGGCCTGGTGAACTGTGGTGCAACTGGGGAGAGGAGAACGTTCTTGTGACAGCCAGCCAGGGACGGCTGCTGGTAGCAACCTCATTGCCATCTCCTTCCTAAAGCTGTCCTTTCCTTCTGTCAGGGATGGAACCCAGGGTTTGGGGCAAGTAATGGGGGGCTGAGCCCCTCCTCCAGCCCCTCACTGGGGGATTCTAGGGAGGGGCTCCACCCTGACCACGCCCCCAGCCCCTCACTGGGGAATTCTGGTCGGGGTTCGACCCTGACCATGCCTCTAGGCCCACACAGGGTTCTGTGGTAGGCTACTCTTAAGTTACTCACATGGTGAACCCTCATTCTTATGGATATGGAATTTTTGCCTTTAAAAAATTTTGCGTTCCCAGCACTCGGGAGGCAGAGGCTGGCAGATCTCTGTGAGTTCGAGACCAGCCTGGTCTACAAGAGCTAGTTCCAGGACAGGCTTCAAAACCACAGAGAAACCCTGTCTCGAAAAACCAAAAAAAAAAAAATTTTTTTTGCGTGCACGTGCCTTCACTGGTGTGTGCACGTGATCATGGGAACCCACGGATCACAAAGCTTTTGGGTCTCTGGAGTTATGGGCAGCTGTCTGTGCTGGGACCAAACACAAGTCCTCTGCAGGAGCATTATGAGTACCCAGCCCCTGATATATTAACTTTGCCAGGTCGGCTCTGTGGGGCAGGCTTGAACTACAGATCCTCCTCAAGTGTGGGGTGTGTGTGTGTGACAGATGTGCGCCACCACCTGACACCACCACACACACACACACCCCGCACTCGCACACGCACGCGAACTCTCTCCCTCACACACACACACACACGCACATGCACCCGCACATGTATGCGCACCGTGTACGCACGCACACGTACTCACACTCTCACCAGACACACACACACATGCACCCGCACTCACACGCTCTCTCTCTCTCTCTCTCTCTCTCTCTCTCTCTCTCACACACACACACACACACACACGCACCCGCACTCACACGCTCGCGCTCTCTCTCTCTCTCTCACACACACACACACATACACACACACATGCACCCGCACTCACACGCTCGCGCTCTCTCTCTCTCACACACACACACACACACACACGCACATGCACCCGCACATGTATGCGCACCGTGTACGCACGCACACGTACTCACACTCTCACCAGACACACACACACATGCACCCGCACTCACACGCTCGCGCTCTCTCTCTCTCTCTCTCTCTCTCTCTCTCTCTCTCACACACACACACACACACACACACGCACCCGCACTCACACGCTCGCGCTCTCTCTCTCTCTCTCTCTCTCTCTCTCACACACACACACACACACACACACACACACACACAGAGGCACGCACTTGCCTTTTCTGTCTCTCAGTGCCAGCGCCAGCGGCACTTCTGCTGTGTGTCCCTTCATCACCATGACAATGGACTCGGTCTCTGAACTGTAAACCAGCCCCAACTACATGTTTGTTTTTATAAGAGTCGCTATGGCCATGGTGTTGTTACAGCAACACCTAAGGCACATGGTATCTGTCAGTAGTCAAGGCTAGACTTCAGCAAGTGTTGGTGTGCTGGCACACGGCACACACCTCTACTGCCAGCACTCGGGAGGCAGAGGCCAGCCTGGGCTACAGAGAGAGTTCCAGGTTAGCCTGGGCTACCCTGCCTTAAGTGTCTTGGCCCACCGAGCCACCTGGAGGCCCCACATGTCTTCTTTTTTTCTTTTTTAAAACAGGGTTTCTTTATTTTTGTAGCTCGACTGACCTGGAACTCACTGTGTAGACCTGGCTGGACTTGAGCTCATGGAGATCCGCCTGACTCAACTTTTTTTGGAGGATTAAAAACAAAACACAAAAGGTCGCTCCATTCCAAACTGCCCTTGGCAAACTTCCCCCAATTCCCAATTCTCCTGCCTCAAATTTTCAAGTGTCAGGGTGAGGGACACGTGCTACTGGGTCCCTTTATTTCTACAAAAGTGAAATAGAGCGGGCACACTGTGCCCAACTAGACGGATCTGGAGAGAGGGAAGGGGCAATGGGGCCCAGATACAGGGAGGTCAACATCCGGGATGGGAGGGTGAAGAGCCCACTGGGGGCAGGGGTCTAGGCATGGCCCTAAGGGCACGTGCGCACTGCAGCAGGGTGGGGGTAGGGTGCGATGTGGGGATCCCTCACCCCTGAACCATCTGTCTCTCTAGATCCTCCGCAGGCTGAACGATAAATTCGAAGCTGCAGATCTTTGAGAATTTCTCAGGCCGGCAGTGTCAGCACAGACAGGCAATGCATGTGCAGGGGGTGAGTGCACGTGCAAGCCCACGTCCACGTGCATGTGGGTTTCCTTCCTGGGCGTGGCAGACAGTGCCGCCATACCCATGTGCACTTGCCTGCAGGCCTCGCCCGATGGCGGACGTGGGAGGCTTCCTAGTGTCCTGGGAGAAAAGGGAGACCAGAAGGCTGGGACGGTGCCCCAGTGCGTGCCGCATCTGCTTTGCGAGCACGAGGACCTGACTTGGATCTTAAGGGCCCACGTGAAAAGCTGCAGGAGGCTGGGGACCTGGAAATGACGGGATCCGGGGACTGAGGAGCTCCAGGAAACCCAGCATCCCGGAAGGAGAGCGCACCAGGTGCAGCCAGAGACCCTATTCCCCAAAGGCAATGCCATTGGCTTCTACCCCAGCAGGGACTGGCATGCGTGCATGCGCGGATTGCACACGCTAGAGACCACAAAGGCAGAGGACAGCGAAAGCTGAGGCTGGGTGTAGTGGCACCGGTGTGGGCTGGCACAGGCCTGTCATCTAAGCATTCGGGAGGCGCGCAAGGATCAGGGGTTTGAGACCAAGCTTGGCCATGTCTCGAGTTCTAGACTCACCCGAGACTCTCGAACCAAACCCCTACAGAGAAAATAAGTTGAGGGGACAGTGATGTCGTCCTTTCCTGTGCTCATTCGAGCCACTTGTGACAGATACGGGTTGGGGCCCACGAGTGGAGGCCAGGACCGTTCTGCCGCTGTCTGAGTGCACCCCGGACCCCATGGCACTGACTGTCTCCTTCCACCGGCAGGGGACAGGTCTGGGATGGGTGTCAGCCCCCATCCAGTCCAAGCTGGCATCTACTGGGCACAGCTGGGTCCCCAAGGACCCAGATCCTGTACCCTAAAACCTTGGCTGGGTGTGGAAGAACAGGGGTACCATGGCCTGGGGTGCAAGTGTCTTTGCCTTGGTGTCACATTGACCCTCGGAAGGCCTGAAGGGTGCCAAGCAGTATTGTGTTCCCAGAGATGAGGTTCTGTGGGTACCACAAAGGGTGAGGACACTTTGATCCCAGCTTGCTATGACCATGGCATCTACAGACTCTCAGGTTGGCGTTTAGGGAATTCTGTCCCTGTCCAGCTTCCACAGTGGTCAGTGGGATGAAGATACACCTCTGCCCCGTGCTCCAGAGTGGGGGCTCCAAGGGGCACCCCTCTTCACCCAGATATTTGCAGCAAGACCTCCCGCTGCCCTGCAGGACGTGGTGCTGGCCCCAGCCTACGGGTGTTCTCTATTGGAGAAAAAGTTCTTGATAAAGACCCCAGAACCAAGGTTAGACTCAGACACCTGCCCCTGAGCTCTGTCCAGCACCCCAGCTTCCAGAGACACCAGGAGTGAGGAGATGGATTTCCCATTCCGTTTCATCTGAATCAGCTAGTGGTGGCTGAAAGGCCAGAACCACCATGTGCCGTGGAACCCAGTAACTGGTAGTGATTGTTCCTGGCCTCAGTTTCCCCAGTGTGGTCAGACTATGAAGCCTCAGAGTTGGTCTGGGAGTCCAAAGCTGTGCTCCCCAGGGCTCCCTTGCCCAGGTGGGTGTGTGTCCCTGTGTTCAGGGAAGCAGCTCCCACCCAGGCCCGCGGGGACCTTGGCGTCCTGTCTCCCACCCACTTCCAGCATGCCAGCCGCAGAGCAGGGTGGAACCTACCAGAGATGGAAACGTAAACAGAGCGTCTCCACAGCCTCAGCTCTGCAGCCAGGCTGAGGAGCCACACAGGGCCACCCACAGGGCTGAGGCTCCTGATCACACCAACTCCCACCCTGAGTGAGACTCATAGAATAAGGTCTCATGTAGATGGCTGTGTCCGTTCCACACCCACAGCAGCCACAGGGATAGCTGCTTCATAAACACAGCAAGCAATTGGGGCAGACCCCCTACCCACGAGTGGGCGGGACCTGGGAAGTCGTGGCCTAGAGCGGAGTGTGTCAGCAGCAGGTTCTCTTCCTATGGCTCAGGCTTCTAGCTACCCACACCCACAGTGGACAAAGTTCTAGATGAAGACCCCAAAACCAAGGTTCTGAGAAGCTAAGGTGCCCATTAAGGGGTCCCAGGTAAAGGGGGGTGTCTGTCACGTAGGTGCTACAGACAGTGACTTTGGGTTGGACACTGCCTGCAGGACTCTGGCCAGCCACCTCAGTGGAACCAAGAGGCCACACTGGGGACCGTCTGGTACTTCTGGTCCCATTGCAGCTGCCTGCACGCCTTGCAGAAGGCCAGGGCCATGCTCCCCAAGCGAGGCCTGAGCGTCTTCCTCCAGCGAAAGTAACGCTGGTAGCTCAGGCTATCCCTGTCCAGCTCCTGCAGGTACCGAGCCAGGTCCCCTGGGCTCTTGAAGTCATCCACGTGGATGAAGGCATCAGGGGGCAGGAACCGTTCATAGTTCTTCCTGCTGGGCCCCAGGACCACAGGCACGGCCCAGGCTTCCAGAGCATTCCTCCACAGCTTCTCTGTGATGTAATCTGGGTGAAGGGAGTTTTCAAACGCCAGGTAAAACTTGTATCTGGCCAGTGTCTCTGTCATGTTGCCTTGGGGAAGCGGTTTATGCCCTCGGCCATACACATCGACACGGAGGTGACTCTTAAGGTTCTCATAGTACTGCACCCGGGCCGACTTGGAGTTCCAGTTGGACACAGCCCAGGCCACTAGGTCAGTCTTGGCAGACAGGTTGACCTGGATTTGGCCTGGAGGCTCTGGCCACGGCTCCAGCCAGCCATAGGGCGTGAAGATGTCAGAGTCACTGCGATAGGACATGGTGAGGTTGAAGTAACCATCCAGGGCTGACAGATGGCTGCAATGGCTGGGCGACTCCAAGCTGAACCACACCCAGCGCTGGCCTGGTGGTCTCGGCTGAGGTGGCAGTTGTGACCCGGGGTTGGCGCTGACTTCGCGGTGGTGGACGATGACCGCGTCTGCTTGGGGGTACAAGCTCCTGTTGGCGGTCAGCTGGCAGTCGACGGTGCCCGGGAGCATCTTGGAACAGGGCGACAGAGCCACTGGTGTGTGGAAGGGCCATGTCCATAGTAAGATGAGGAGGGGTTTGGGGGCAGGGGGAGTCGGGGTGGAGGCTGGTCCTGGGGAGCGATCAGGAGCTGGGGGTCCAGGTTGGTCATAGGACACTCGGGTGTAGGAGAAGAAACCCAGAGCAAAGAGGAGCTGCAGGAGCAGGCCGAAGAGGCATGGGCGCCAGGGACACTGCGTCTTTACTGCTCGGGGCATATCCATGGCCTGGGGACCTGGGAAGAGAGGGAAGGATAGGAACATGAGGCCCAACGTTATTATTCACGGTCATTAGACATTTTCAAAAGGGTCTCATGTGAGTTCGAGACCAGCCTGGTCTACAAGAGCTAGTTCCAGGACAGGCTCCAAAAAACTACAGAGAAACCCTGTCTCAAAAAAACCAAAACCAAATAAATAAATAAATAAAAAATCCAGAGACCCAAGGTCTTGCCCCCGTGGGTCCCCCTCCTTCTTAATTCTGGAGAAATGACCTTCTCTCTACTCTGGTCCCACCTGGGTTCCACCTCTTCCCAGTTTCAGGGAAGTTAGACCCGAACAGAAAATCTCACAGACGTCTCTGGAGTTTCGGTTCCAGGATTCTGGCTGGAAGGGTGAGATGGTAAGGCTTGAGGCTGTGGAAGAGGGTCCCACATTCATTCACCCAGGAGATGATGCTCTTCAGAAACCTCTGCTCTCAGAGACATACTGTCTCTGACCTATGCACCCTGGAACCGTCCATCTAACAAAAGGGGAAACTGAGGCTCAGAGAATGGCATTCCTCTACCCCAACTGCCCCCCACTTATCAGTTGTCAGCCCAATCCACAGACAGTTCGGGTCTATAGGTGCCTTCTAACGAGGGACCCACAGAGCCCTTTCAGCGTGGCTGTTGGGGGCTGCATAGGTCCCTGTCAGACATCTTCCTCAATTGTTTCCTGCCTTCTATTTAGAGACGGAGTCGTCTTTGGCCATACCACCCTGAACGTGCCCCATCTCGTCTGATCTCGGAAGCTAAGCAGGGTTGGGCCGGTTAATACTTAGTACTTGGATGGGAGGCGGAGTCCTGATGGTTCTCCTGATTGGGACCCCAGCGTTCCTCTCCACCTCCCCAGCCTTGGGATTTGAGGTGTATACTGGCTTTTTTATATAAGCACCGGGGATTTGAATTCAGGTCCTAATTTCAGGGTGGCAAGTACTTTATAGACTCAGCCAGCTCCCCAGCCTTTATATCTTGGATTTTTCCGATAAGGCCTCACGTATCCCAGGGTTAACGTCAAACCCATTGTGATCTCCCTATTTTGGCCACCTTTGGTGCTGTGCGGTTCCTCCCTGCCTGCATTACAAATCCTGTAAATATTGATACTTGGAACTAGAGATTTCTGAACCGCAGGGCTCCATCCTGACCACGCCCCAACCCCTCACTGGGGATTCTAGGTGGGGCTCCACCCTGACCACGCCCCAGTCCCTCACTGGGGATTCTAGGCGGGGCTCCACCCTGACCACCCCCCAACCCCTCACTGGGGATTCTAGGCAGGGGCTTCACCCCTGACCACGCCCCAGCCCCTCACTGGGGATTCTAGGCAGGGGCTTCACCCCTGACCACGCCCCAACCCCTCACTGGGGGGATTCTAGGTGGGGCTCCACCCTGACCACGCCCCAAACCCTCACTATGGGGTCCTGGGGGTGCTCCATCCCATAGTGATCTTGTTGACATTTCCTGCCATATATAATTTGAATTGGAGGTTTGTGCGCTGTAAACCCTGGCAGGTGGGTGGGTGGTGTTCCCATCTGGGCCCCAGCAAGGTGTCTGGAAAGAAAGCAGCGTGACAAGTTGGCCCAGCTTTGAATTTGGGTGGATCCCCTCAAATCTACTGTTTTTTACTCTGAGGGATTATGTGCCTCAGATTACAATGTTTGGTTTTTACGCCAGTGTCACGTGGTTCTGGTGTGGGCAGCCCTAAGGGACAGGCAGTGACGACTTACACAGCCACCTGAAGAGGACAAAGGAGGGTGACTTCCTGTATCAGTAGAAATGCCAGGTGGTGGTGGCGCACACCTTTAATCCCAGCACTCAGGAGGCAGAGGCAGGTGGGCTTCAGTGAGTTCGATCAAGGCCAGCCTGGTCTACAGAGTGAGTTCCAGGACAGCCAGGGCTACACAGAAAAACCCTGTCTCAAAAACCAACAGTGTGGGGGGAGATCGCCGTAAATTCTCACCCTGGCATGGCAACACACTGATCCCAGCACTCACTCCAGACACTGAGGCTGGAAAGTGGAGCATTCGGGCTAACCTGGACCCCATCTCGGTCCAAACAAAACAGAGAATGAGGGGTAGGGATTGTGGGCAGTGCTCACCCAGCACAGGGAGCCCTGGGTTCTGTCCCCCAAAACAAGCATGGTGGAGACAGAGGCAGGACAATCAAGAGTTAGGGTCATCCTTGGTTACGTAAGGAGTTTGAGGCCAGCCTGGGCTATGTGAGACCCTCAGAAAGAAAATAAAAACAACGGCAACAACTTAAGACACAAATGGACACAGCCCACGTCTGGGATCGTCCCTTCTTTGTCATGTGAAAACAAACGGGGCGAGGGCTGGGATGGCCCGTGGATGGTATGACTTCCAGACCAGCCCTGGGTCAGCATGAAGTCAAGGACCCACTTCCTGCTCCACAAACCCAGATCCCCGCCACTGCTAAGCCCCTGCCCGTGGGTATGAACTGCTGGCTCTGGGCCATCAGTCCTGGGCCAGTCCCGGCTTTACTGGGAATAAAATGTAAGCCAGCTAAGGGTAGACAAGAGGAAGGACTGGCTAAAGAGGTTTCTCCCAAGAGAAGTGCTCCCAAGTAGGCTAGGTGAAATGGTCTTCCCAAATGGCCTTACCTGGAGCAGGAAGCAGCCGCAGCCCAGACCTGGTCAGCGCAGGATCCTTCTCAGAATGATGATGATCCGAAAGAAAGGAAGGAGGAAGTGTATTACAATTGTTTTCTTTATGACCCAGCCCACAGCTTCCAGATGAACAGTGCTCTAAGTTTAAGGTCCAACCTCTATCTTTGGTCCGGGTTGCTTGGCTAAGAGCCAGCCTCTGAGCTACCACTCCTGAGGTGCCTGGTCTGTTAAGGCTGATCAGTGCAGCTGTTTTACTCTCTGAACTTCAGGTAAGCTTTACTTATTAAAATACAAATGAACACAAACTGAGTAAGCAGAAAGTGCAAGCAAGCGACTTCCAAAAAATGTGAGAAATGACAGAATCAGCTGGCTGCCTGGACACACACCCAAGGTTCCTCTGCAATGTTGGGGCATCCATCTTCGCTCTACAGGCCTAGCATATCCGATAGACTTTTCTGTGAAGCAGGACATTCTGAAGGACTGTCCCTCATTGTCTTGACAATATTTGGCAGTCACTTTCTTCTGTGTCCTGCTTGCCCTATTAGGACAGCATACCGTCAGCAGTTAAGGCAAGGGCATTTTCTTGCTCAGTGATTTACTTTTTTTTTTTTTAAATAAGATTTATTTATTATGTATACAATATTCCTTCCATGTATGCTTGCATGCCAGAAGAGGGCACCAGATCTCATTATAGCTGGGCTGTGAACCACCATGTGGTTGCTGGGAATTGAACTCAGGACCTCTGGAAGAGCAGTCAGTACTCTTAACCTCTGAGCCATCTCTCCAGCCCCTAGTGATTTACTTTTGCCACAAAGAAAGTAAACTCCCCATGGAGTTTCTTTGATGTCCGTTATTTTCTCTGAAGTAGGTTGGTGCTGCCAGGAGCAGACCTGTCTCTTTGTCACAAAAGAGAACATAGGTTATTAAAACATCTTAAATGCCATATTCTTTTTTTTTTTTTTTTTTTTTTTTTTTTTTGGTTTTTCGAGACAGGGTTTCTCTGTAGCTTTGGAGCCTGTCCTGGAACTCCCTTTGTAGACCAGGCTGGTCTCGAACTCACAAAGATCCGCCTGTCTCTGCCTCCCGAGTGCTGGGATTAAAGGCGTGCGCCACCACCGCCCGGCTTTAAATGCCATATTCTGTAGATCTCTGAAGCATTTGAAGATGACTTGTCCAGGACAGGCTCCAAAACCACAGAGAAACCCTGTCTCAAAAAACCAAAAAAAAAAAGATGACTTGTCTATCTAAAATATATATTTGTTTGACCTTGAAAGCATACCTAAATGTGACCATAAGTTCAATTATACTAGGTGACTAATTACTAACCCTGTATTTCCTTATTACCCTAAACAGTTTGTAATAATAATTTTCAAGGTCTAGAAATTTGCATTACATTTTTGAATGAGTTGCATAGGTATAACACCTTGAACAAGAGTAGAAATGTATGTACAGAATGTTCTAACAAAATTAATCTCAAATTTGTAACAATATACAAAATTTGTATACAACATACAAAAGTCCAATCCAATGTAGGACATTTAAAACTACTAGTAGTTGCTTTTTAAAAGTAGATTCTGGGGGGCTGGAGAGATGGCTCAGTAGTTAAGAGCATTGCCTGCTCTTCCAAAGGTCCTGAGTTCAATTCCCAGCAACCACATGGTGGCTCACAACCATCTGTAATGAGGTCTGGTGCCCTCTTCTGGCCTGCAGACATACACACAGACAGAATATTGTATACATAATAAATAAATAAAATAAAAGTAGATTCTGTAATCTGTCTTTTTGTCTTATCGTACCTATATCCTCCCTTTTTCTTTTCAGAGTAGATTCAATAATCTGCCCTTTTATCCTATAAGGCCTGTGGTGTCAGTGGCTGTCCCTGGCAGAGGCAGGGGCTCTGGCACAGGAAGGTCACGTACTTGTGACTGTAAAACCAGTGTCTCCTTCCACGAGCTCTGGCTATCTGGGAAAACCTTTTCCCTCTCCTGGTGGATGGAGACATGTTCTGGACGGTTGGTTTTTTAATCAGAATCTGTCTTCTCCAGGGACAGGATATCTCCACTCTACTGAGTTGCTCCGCTTTGTGTCACCCCGAGTCTCACCGTGCCAGGTGGGTGGGATCCCAGGACTTGGTTTGCTGAAGGAAGTGACGGCTCTCTTGCCCTCTCTCTGGCTGGATTAGTCAGACTTCTGGGCATGATTTCTGAGCTGTCAATCTTAATGTCACGGTGACATAGGCCCGTGGTCAGGCACTGGATGGGTGAGCTTTGGACTCTGCAGTCTCCGTGGGTAGGCACCTCTTCCAGGAAACCTCCTCAGCCTATAACTCCCCTGTCCTTCCAGTTTTCTGAGTTCCCTGGGTGTAGGATGGCTCAGCCTGCTTTTTCTGCCTGGGCTAAGGAGGATAAGACAGAAGGGCTGGGAAATACTCGATCATTATTTCACAGAATAAAATGAATTATTTACTTATCTGGGGTTTGTTGTTGATAATTGTTGCTTGTTTGTTCATTTTTGAGACAGGCAGGGTTTCTCTGTGTAGTGCTGGCTGTCCTGGAACTCACTCTGTAGACCAGGCTGGCCTCGAACTCACAAAGATCCGTCTGCTTCTGCCTCCCGAGTGCTGGGATAAAAGGCGTGCGCCACCACCGCCCAGCATGAATGCAACGAGCCCTAATCACTATTCTCCAGTGGAGGCCAAAGGGCTCTTGTCATTTAAGATGGGCGTGTA